CCCTTGGTGGCCGTGCCATGCACCTGGTGTCATTGCAGGTGAGGAATGGGACGCTGAGCATCGCTGTCGTGGAGCGTGCCAGCGCAGGCACCTATACCTGCCATGCTTCTAGCAAGGAGGGCACCATCACCCACACCACCCGCGTGCTCGTGCAGGGTAAGAGCGGGTGCTCTCCCACCCCCGGCAGCATGGGCCACCCCACTGCGTGCTGCTGCAGGGCACAGAGGGAGACGCACCACAGGGGTTGGTTTTGGGGCAGGTGCAGGTATGACGGGCTTTGGGAGCAGCTGGGGCCATCCCCTGTCCCCAGCTGTCATCATCCCCTCTGCCCCACACTGCAGGGCCACCCATCATCGTGGTGCCACCCCAGAACATCACCGTCAACATCTCCCAAGATGCCTTTCTGGCATGCCAGGCTGAGGCATACCCGGGAAACCTCACATACACCTGGTTCCAGGGCAGTAGCAACGTCTTCCACCTCAGGTACAGCAGGGACAGGGATGGCACCGAGGCAGCCGTGGGCTCCTGCCAGTGGTCCTGGGGCCGTCAGGCTGCTGTGGCCCCGCAAAGCCTGGATCTGAGTGTGATGGGCTGGCTGCGTGCATGGTGGGGATGTCGCTCATCCCACGGCGGTGGGGACGGTCCCAGCTGCACCACTCAGCACTGCCCTCCTCCTTGCAGCCGCCTCCGAGCTCGGGTCCGTGTCCTGGTGGATGGGAGTCTCCTACTCCAGCGAACGACCCCAGATGACACTGGCAAATACACCTGCATGCCCAGCAATGGGCTGTGGAAGCCGCCTTCTGCCTCGGCCTTTGTCACAGTGCTGTGTAAGAGCCCCACAGCCCTTTGTGAGCCCAAGCCACGCTGTCACCAGCTTCTCTCGTGGAGAGGCCCTGCTGGGCCAGCCCTGGGTGGTCTCTGCAGGCCATGGTGTCCGGTGTGGTGACGGGGGCCCCCCCTCCCCTGCCACAAGGACCCTAGCTCCTTGCCATCCTCACGGAGTCCTTGGCACCCTGTTTGTCCTCACAGATCCAGCGCAGGTGACCACCATGCTCCCAGAGACCCATCTGCCCAAGGGGATGCAGGGTGTGATCCACTGCCCCACCAGGGCCAACCCCCCTTTGCTCTCCGTCACCTGGATGAGGGATGGGCACCCACTGGAGCTGAACAAGGTACCGCAGCTTGCCCTCACCTCTGCCTTCCCACCCCCCGAGCCCCTTGTCCTGACACTGCACCCCCCTCTCCCAGCTCCCTGGCTGGTCTCTGAGACCGGACGGCTCCATCATCATTGCGACGGGGAACGATGATGTGCTGGGGGTGTACACATGTACCCCGTACAACAGCTATGGCACCGCTGGCGAGTCCCAGCCCACACGCG